GCATCCAACCTAAGTCTGCTGCAATAACATCATCATCATCAGAACCCAATAATTCCTCCATTGAGAAGCACTCGTCGCTGCTTATAACTAAGCATGGCTCAGCATAATAATCTGATGATGTTAACATATCAGTAAAAGTGATAGGTGCCCTCTCTTCAATGTTGTGCACTTGCTTTATTGACCACTTATCAGACACAAATCCAGCATCAATGTTTTCTTCATTAACCATGGCAGTACTACTTCCTTGAGCCATTTGACACATGATGTTCTGCTCATCAATGCAGATAGGCAACTGGGTTCTGCAGTATTTGATTTTTCTGCTAGCAAACTACCGAGGTACTCGTACACTTTCATATCCACATGATCAATATTGTTCATTATCTCAGCCAATGTTGATGGAACAGTAGCCCTATCATCGCATTCAATATTACTATGGTATTGTTGCAACTGAAAGCCATTATTATCAGGCGAGTAGTATGTAAATTGATTTGAAGTTGTCGAATTAAGGATACCGTGGATCGAATCGCCTACCGTTGTAGCAATATATGTGTTAACTGTATTGCAACAATCGTACAACCAGATTTGCATAGCGAGGGGAAAACCTCGAAGAAGAGCAAAATGGACAGATGGGGTCAACTTATGCCTAACAGATTGAAGTAAATGTATACAAGCATCTATAGACAAAATGACAATAATATATTGCAGACAATTAAATGATAAATTAAAAAATAAATAAAATAATTAAACTACAAAGCAGCTATAAAACACTAACAGTCCTCTTTTTTGAACAAGAAAACTACAAAGTAACCTACATTTAAAATNGGGGTTGTCTACTAGACATAATATCTACAATTTGTTTATGGGAAATACAATTACTATTTACAAAGAGAGCCAAAATTCACCAATAAAACAAACTACGTCAAGATACAACTTTATTTCAAATATTATACAACAAATATACAACTGAAAAAATATTTAGAAAAATTAATAAACAACAAGATATATATACAATGTAGACAAAACTTCTACAATGAAGGATTAATAAAAAAGTAGGTATCAAGATGAGCATGAAAATAACTTTTTTACAAAAAAAAAAAAAATGAATATCATAATTACTACAAGTTTACCTTGTCTAAAGACTGTTGGAGTATGTTTTTAGGAGATTTTTGAACCTTATTCCTTTTTGAAGGTTTGCCGGCAAGAGAAACTTTGACTTTTTTTGCAGATTTGGGAATCACTTCTTCTTCCACGAAATCGTCATCAACGGTGGTTTCTTTGTCCTTCCGTTTTACTGATTTAGCAGATGAGGATCCGTCAGCAGAATCCCTGTCATGCTTGAGTTTTTTCAGCGCCTCTGCCCTAGCTTAACGAGGCGTAAGCGGGGAATTTCTCTTTAGTGTTTCATGTCGGGATTTTATCATTTTTTTGGATGAATCCTGTGAGAAAGTACCCAAATTAAATGTATGAATTTTATCATCAGTAGCTTTTTTTAGGGCTTTTCCACGGAGTTCCTTTTTTCTTTATGAAAGGGAAGGAATTGTTGATGAACTAAGGATTTCGTAGGGATTTACAGAGAAAAATCAGGAATTTTGAGAGAGAAAATGGAAAAACTTTTGAAACAATATGGAAGAAAAACGTTAATGGAGAGAGAGATGTTTAGAAGAGGGGGGGCTAAGAAACGGGGGAAGTGGGATATATACGTTAGATATTGTATAGCGTGAAAAATTGACTTAATTGATATCTCATTTAATTCCTAAAATATATATAATTGGTAAATTGTATATGATCATGTAATTACTTTAAAACTTGAATAGAAAGGATAAAAAAGTTTCATATAGTGTATAATTTGGTAAAAATCCTTTAATTGAAAGCACAATATGGTGCACGCTTTGAGCTTATAACTGCATAGATTTTAGCTAAAAATAGTACGCAGAAATAAGTTGTTGAAATTTTTGAAAGAGCGAGGGCTATATTGAAAACAACGAGTCCAGAACCAAAATGTGGTTCTTTTGGACTAAAATAACCGAAATGTGTAGAAAAAAACATGGTGACCAACTTATATATAGCGTCTTTTAAAAAACGCTATACCTTAATAGCCGTTTGGCCATGTATAAAGCCTTTTTGAAAGGCTCTATATATATTATGTGGGTCCACCGTTAACATCCCTCTTTCTTTGTTCTTGGAATTCACATGGCGCAGGAAAAGCACATAAATAGAATTTAATGTAAAAGAGAGTAGAGTGCTGGGTGGTGTATTGGTTAAATGCTAAGGATGAAGTTGGTTTAGCCCTTGAGGTCCAAGGTTTGATTCCTTCTAACAACATTATTTTGTTTTCCTATTTCTTTTTCATTTTTCATTTTTTTTCATTATTTGATTTAAGTATTCAGACACAAATACTTTAATATTTATCATTACTTTTCAATGTAATTAAAATAATTTAATAATTATTAGAAAATTATGATTTTTGAATTCATGTAAAGTTAAAAAAAAAAAAAGAGAAGCCTTTTACTATTTCGTTAAAAAATCTACCGACATTTTTAATAGTTGTTATTTTGTATTATATGTAAAAGAAAATTATTTTTTTCTCCTTTTATTTTCAAATTAGACTTATGAGTTTTATTTATAGTTAAAATTTTCATAAGAGAATAATATATATAGTTTAATCTTTTGCTTGAATTTTTTATTTTTGGTATCTTTCTTTTTAATTACAGAACTCTGGAAGGGCTATATTTTATTCTCTATGCGAATAGTGAGTATATTTTCTTAAATTTAATGTGGTGATGCCATTGGAAGCAATCTAGATTAGACATAGAGCTGTCTTCAGTACATATCAGTAGTATCGCTGTTACTGCTTCCTTTTGTGTCTTTCCTTGAGTCTAGGGTTTATCGAAGCCAACCTCTCTATCTTCACAAGGTAAAAATAAGATATGTGTATACACTACCCTCCCCAGACCTCACTTGTAAGATTTGATTGGGTTTGTTGTTTTTACCCCTGAACAAATGGCACAAGCTTTAAAGCACAATTGCCCAGCTGTAAGTTCAAGTGGAATTACACTATTTCAGCAAAGAAGAGTTAAATTGAAAGAATAACAAATTAACAGTGTCTAAATCCATCCCCATCAACAATGAATTATCCCAAACTAGACCTAACCATCTCATATGCTAAGAAACATGCAGCATTTGCAGGGACGCTACGTCCCATAGCAGGTCCAAATCCCTTGTAAAGTCCTTTGACTCCCTCTGCTGCCAAGATCTTTTTGAACGCATCAAAAAAGCCAGAAAACTTCGGGTTTTTATAATCGTCGACCTGGATTACACTCTTGATGACATCTGTTGGATACACGGAAATCCAGAAGGAACCGCCAGCCAAGCCTCCGGCTACAATAAGAGAACCTCTTCCTAACCCTGAAGTGTCTGTGCCTCCTGCAAAGTACTGCTTTAGTGCTTCGTACATACCAAACATAGCAGCATTTCCAGGTATTTCACGTGCCATGGTGGGGAACAAGCCCTTAAAGAGACCCCCAACACCTCCTTCAGATCGAAGTACGTGTCTTGCCACATCCATTGGTCCTGCATATTTCACTGCCACAGCAGCTGAGCCTGCACTTGCCATTACACTCTGGGCTTGCAATCTGCATTCATGTAATTAAACAAATAAATTGCCAAGTACAGAAATTGATTCCTAGTAGTTTTGATCGTTGATCAAACAGTGGTAACAACAAGTTGAAAAGTACATGTGCATTCTTTCCATCTACAATGCACACATACATACCATTTCAATGGAAAGGTAAAACATGGCAAACATCTAAAGTTCATCTGTCATACAGTTTGGTCAAGTGAAGAGAACTTTATGAAGGGTAGATCACATACTACATTTTGGTTTTAATGCATTAGAAGCGAACCTGCATTTTATAAGTTCAGTTGGGCAAGCAAGAAAAGACACAGCAGTTCCAGCAACAGCCCCGCAAACGATTTGCTGGTTCACAGTAAGAGGCGCTCCAGGTTCAGACCTCAAGAATGCCTCGGTTTGACCTCTCACTGTGAAGAGCACAGCATTAAAGGCTGCAACAGTGGCAAGTGGGGCCCCCATGCCTTTGAACAGCCCCCTAGCACCTTCTGCAGCTACTGTTTGCCGAACAGCATCTACGGCACCCGAGTATTTAGGAAGCTGCCCTGGAAGTGGAGTAGGCTGGCTTTGAAGCTTGACCTTGATGGTATCAAAAGGGTGACCAACAATCAATTGTGCTGCTCCACCTACAGTCCCAGCTGTTAAATCCTTGGCTACGTCACCCATTCTGGTATCTGGAGAAACAGGAACAAAAGGTAAAAGGAAATTCAGTCTAAATGTAATGCTGTTGCATTGACTCTCTTCAATGACAGTAGAAAAAGAACGAATTGGTGGGAAGGCGAGCATTGCAAGAGTTTATTATCAATGTCAAGCTTCAGACTTCTGCTAAAAAATTGGTGGAAAGAAAAACATCTATAATCTTTATAGTCAATAGCCATGAACCTACACAATAAACAACACTAGTTGTCCTTGATGTAATAAAAAGTCTAGCTTAGGTATTTGTGGAGCTATCACAATATGGGATTAAAGAGCACCAGAAAGAATCCAGGCAGCATCATTTCTTCTGAACAAAATCAACAACAACAATAAACCCATTGTAATCCTACAAGTGGGGTCTGAGGAGGGTAGTGCGTACGCAGACCTTACCCTACCTTGTGAAGGTAAAGGTTGTTTCCGATAGACCCTCAACACTTCTTCTGAACAAAATCAATCATAATATTACACCTCCGGACATGAGGGACTCGGATAATTGGAAACTCATATGATATGTCAGATAACAATAAACGAACAGATCAAAAGTCCATATGCTAACTCAACTTCTCTAGATAATTTTGACATCGGTGTCCTAACACAGTCAGCCACTTTAAAACCAAAGTGATCAAGCTGCTTCTGCCTGAAAATTATTTGCATACAATGCGACAAAGTGAAGGATTGAGACAGCAAGTTAGAACTCCAGTCCTATCCCATTACTGTTTTGCTTATTCATAATAAGGATGGACTATAGGCAATAGCTTTTACTTGAAAATGCATCCTTTGGAACTCTAACTGTGAATATAAGGGCTCTCAAAGCAGCTACTTTAGCAAGTAGAGATCCTGTGGCTAAACCGCTGGTAACAAGAAATGAGAAGCACAGGCTAATGAATATAGTCTACTCTTGGGTAATTACAGTTGGGATAGTGTTATCAGACCCTCCAAATCAATTTTCACTTAAAGGAGGAAAAAAGGGTTCCACCCAATCTGGAGTGTTATCAGACACTCCAGAAAACTGATTTAGAAAAGGATTTTTGAAAGCTGTTACAGAAAGACCCTTCGGATATGGGAATCTTGGTCTTTCCCTTTGAGTCCTGTAATCCTATGATTTCCATTGTGCATATCAAGTCCATTAGGCAACAAAGGGAGGGGATATCAATATAGCACACCTATTCCCTAACATTCTAACTTCTTTTTTCTCGTTTAACCAAAACAAATATGTAAATGAATCTCTTCCATCAATTCTTGACTTTTCTCTCCTTGATAAACATATTGAAATGTAAGGAATCAGGATATGTATGAGAAGAGGAGAAAAAAGGAAACGCAATGGTGGTGATAATACTCTACTTTGGATAGCAGCAGAAATTCTGTCAAACTAACTGAACTTGAAGACCTTGCGAGAATTAAATGATTTTTTTTTATTGGCCTGACAGAATTAAATAATTCAATTTTATTTGTTGAAATGTTCTAGCTCAAAACTGACTCTTCAAAAAGATAAGGCAAAGCATTTATCTGAGGAACAAATTAGTTTTTAGGGAGGAAAAAGATTGATGAAGAAGGCACTCAAGAATATTCTTGTGGTTTTGCATGAATTTATCTGAACAATTCTTCTCATGTTCACTCACCAACTTCACAAAAATCCAAGCTGAGAGCTCTTGAGAACATTGCCAGTCCTTCCTTACAAGTTACAACTTATAATAGTCCCACAAGATGAATGACGCTCCATTGACAAAAAGGTGCGACCCCTTTTTGCACACATGAAAGCTAAATCCAGCAATCAAATATAACAGAGCCAAACTACGCTTCCCAAATTAACTATTCTGATATTCACAAATACCTAAGACCTCAAAATTGCTGAAAAATATCCATGGGAAAGTGATTCCATCTAATGAATGTATATAGCCAAACCTCGACAGAGATTCAAAACATATAACCATTGCTTAGAATAAGACCCAATACCACCAAAACTAAATAGCTACATCAAGAAAAATAAAGCGTAATTACAGAATTTCAATACATACAATAACACATATCAGCTATGCTTTTTCTTTTCCTTTTTTCTTTTAACTAACCATACAATTACCCAACACCCTCCCCATTCCATCAAATACTTCAAAGCCCAAATGTAGTCCTAAGCCACAAGCTATCAACTCGTACAACCATAACATATTTAAAGTAAAATCTTATAAACATTGACACATTGGTTTAGAGAAAGACTAAAATAAGAACAGCAATTCTGATCCATTCCTAAAAGGCAAAGCATAAGCCTTACCTGGCTGGTTCCTTTTACACAAATTGAATATTCAACCAAGCCAACCAAACAGATCCCAGACTTATATTAAGATCTTGGCACTGCAATCTGAAATCAACAGATGAGTAATGTAACAGTCAATTACCCAAACATGTACATCAAATATGACATAAAGAAACAAATCCCAGAAAGCAAAATTGTAAAAAAGTAAAAGTACCAAAAGGGTATCACTGAATGCCAATTTTCAGCACACCAACTTCTAAAGTTAGAGACGTTTTGATCAAATTAAAAGAATAAAAGAGAAGAAACAATGAAAATATCAATAGGGTATCATTCAGATGCCCATTTTCAGCACACCAACTTTTAAAGGTAGAAACTTTTTCTCAAAAGTTATAAGCTTTATGCTAATAAAAAGATTCTTATGGTATCTAGGTGAACTGATTCTTAGTCCACAAACAAGTCTACCTGATAAATATGATGAGTAAAAATCTTGAAGTTAGTTTAGAGCCACATGAAGGAATTCAACAAACGACAATAATGGGATTGGACTGATTTTATTTAAAAATAATGGTGGCCAGTAGATCTTACACTAGTCTCAAGTGAATCCACGTAAGCAAAGTGGAAAGAGCGCAGTTTTTACACACACAGAGACTAGGAAGAAATCAAGAAATGGATAGGGGAGATGAGGACACAAATTTTGAGCCAATTTCAGCCTCTTTCTTTCTTTCTTTCTTTCTCCTCTCACCAGATGCAACAAGATCTTAGAGAGAGTGAAAGATGGAGCAGCTCCTCTATTTTTGGGTGACTACTTCTATATAAAGGGAGCATATTAAATTGTTGGGTCACCACCAACCCCCATTACCTACTAGTGTATACGGATTTTGACAGGTTCCTCCTCCAAAAAAGATTTTATATCTTTCATAGAGTATATTATTTGTACTTCCAAATTAACTTTTTAATAAATTTACGTGATTCGAGTTAAAGCTATTTAGTGGGCATTTGGATATAAGAATTGAAAATTTTCAAAAAAAGAAAAAAAGTGAATTTCTTTTTTCAAGTGAAATTTATACTGTTGTCTTTGGACATGAATATAATTTTGGATTGTTTTTTAAGTTTTGTGAGTGATATGAGTGAAAATTTTGAAAAATAAATTTTTGGAGTTTTTAAAATTTTTGAAAAATTTTAAAATTCATCTTCAAGTGAAAATTAAAAATTTTATAGCCACTGATTTCGAAAAAAAGTAAAAGAATTCGAGAAAAAGTGAATAAATTTTTATGTCCAAATGACTCTTAATTCAGATAAATCGTACCCAACCCTTTACATCTGCTCAACATATTTGTGGGGTAATAAGTAGTAAATTTGTATACTAAATATTGGTAAATTGGTGACTATAATAATTAAACTACTATCACATATTAAAATTTATTAATAGTACCCAAAAAGAATTATAGTGTGTATATAACTTATTTCATTTAAAATCGTTTGTCCATTGAAGGAAAATGAAGGTAGAGAAACGGGAAAAACGAATAAATGTTCATCTATTGTTACGAAGCACTATGTTATAACACGTCATTATTTAGAGAATCAATAAGATTTTAAAACCATATATATCAAATCACCATTTAATCAAGTCATGTAATTTTATATATTAAATGAAAAAATAATATAATTCTTTATCAAAATAGGTAAAACGATGTATAATAGAATAAGTAAAAATTATTTTATACTTTCTTTAAAGTATTTTCTGCATGTAAATGGGTTTGGTGGAATGATTTTAAATGATTTTTTCAGAAGCCTCGATCACTTTCTTTAAGGATTGTGCTTTACAAGAGTCTATTATTTGTTCATCTCACTATACTTTTTTTTTTTGGTTAAATTGATATATATATATATATATATATATACGCTCATGTGTGTGCGCGCATGCGTATAAACAATCACCTAAGGTGTTATTAGAATTACAGTATCAGATGGAGCAGGAGCACCGTTGCTCCTGAATCGCATAGAGTTACCACCTAAGTTACTATTTCGCACATTAGTTTGTCTTTCAAAAGAAGTTCCTAAAATATTTTCTCAAACATGAGTAATAGCAAACATCGGAGGAATTACTAAAATTGAAGTATTCCCAAAGAGCTTGTTCCTTGTACCTTCCTTAGCAAGTGCTTCAGCCACTTTATTCTGTTTTCTAAAGATGTGTCTTATTACCGGATTTTTCAATTGCTGCGTCATATGCCTGTTAGGTGTTTGCCATAATTTTCTTAGCATATTTGATTTTTCTATTTGTTGAAGGAAAGGGCAATATAATTATCTTAATTGGGTTTTCCTTTTTTGTAGAAGAAAATTATAATTCTCTTATACTTGGCTAGTCCTTTTTCTTGTAGGAAAAGGTTTGGAGTTCTATAAATTGAAGATCCGTCTTTCTCATTCAGTAGAATCCACAATGTAGTCATAGGGGCTTGAGAGTAGTGTTTAGGGGGAGAACTTTACGAGACAAGTGTTAGTGTGTCACTTGTGTTTGCCTTTTCGTGAGGTTGTTCTCCCGATATTTTGTACTCTATTTTTATAGTGGATTGCCCATCTCCGCCGTGGACGTAGGTCAGTTGACCGAACCACGTTAAATGTTTGTGTCTCTTTTGGTATATTTCTCTTTTGTTGTTTGATTTATCATCGTTGAAGGTTTGCTTTGCTAGCTTCCGCATGACACTTGCTTTTTACGGTCCTAACAAGTGGTTCCGAGCGAGGTTCAAGACAGGTTCATCTTGGCGGGTTCAGTTCTAGCCGCAACATATTTGACGATAATCATGATTTTTGTCTGAGAAATTTGACCGGTGTGCTACGCACGTTGAGACAAACTTCTTGGTGGAGATTTGGAGATGCAACTTGTTGAAAGCTATGTGAAGAAGGTGGATCAAGTTTATTTTGTCAGAAAATTCCGGCCAAGGGAGAGAATTGTTAGGTGTTTGCCATAATTTTGTTACTATATTTGATTTTCCTATTTATTGAAGGAAAGGGCAATATAATTACCTTAATTGGGTTTTCCTTTTTGTAGAAGGAAATTATAATTCTCCTATACGTGGCTAGTCCTTTTTCTTGTAGGAAAAAGTTTGGAGTTCTATAAATTGAAGATCTGTCTTTCTCATTCAGTAGCATCCACAATGTAGCCATAGGGGCTTGAGAGTAGTGTTTAGGGGGAGAACTTTACGGGACAAGTGTTAGTGTGTCACTTGTGTTTGCCTTTTCGTGAGGTTGTTCTCTCGATATTTTGTACTCTATTTTTATAGTGGATTGCCCATCTCCGCCGTGGACGTAGGTCAGTTGACCAAACCACGTTAAATGTTTGTGTCTCTTTTGGTATATTTCTCTTTTGTTGTCTGATTTATCGTCGTTGAAGGTTTGCTTTGCTAGCTTCCGCATGACACTTGCTTTTTACGGTCCTAACAATGCCTACATTCATAAATAATAGGTTCATAATATTAGGAATAATCCATAACATGTTAATTACCTCGGTTGAGTCAGTTGCAATTTCTAGTGGGGTGAGAATCTGGTCAATAGTTATCTCTAAACTGCATGAATGTTGTTAGTTCTGATAGATTATTGGAAACATGTAGAACTCCTCACATGAAACCAATAATCCAAACTCTTTGACTATTCATAATAGGTAAAAGGGTCAAAATTGGTTACTTGTGTCACTCGTTACACTTTTCGGCCATTCTCGTCCCTACCGTTAATGAAGTTTGAAAAAATACCCCTAACCATAACGTTTTGACACTGTGGCAGCTGACCAACATCAATTTTATCCATGTCAACTGCCATGTCAGCACAAGTCATTGGAACCCGTCGTCACTCATCGGAGCCGGTCACTGGCATCTGCGTTTTGATGAACTCTCAACCACCAAATTGCTTATTTTTTACATGTATTAGTGCACCATTATTTGACTTGTTGAACTATAATCCCCTTGTTTTTTTTTGCTGCCCAAAATTTTGACAGAGCTCTCCCAAATCTTCACTAACTGACTTGAGAATTTAACGACGACCCCTCAACAATCATCAAAACAAAACCCCATTACTCAATTAAACCAAACAACAACCAGATCAAAAAGCTCATTAATGTTTTCAAACTTCACCAAAAAACCCTCCAATGGAGTTTTTAGCTCCTTCTCTAACGCTTTAAGTAATCAAGTAGTTCACAATCAGGATTTTTAGCTATGAAATGCTGCCAGCTCTTTAAAATTTTAGATCCAACCTCTTCTTCTTTATAGATCGGCATCTTCAAATTGACAAAACCCAAAAGCTCAATCGGCCTTCAATGGCGTTTTCAAACTTCGACGGTGTTTAAAATCACATTTTAGATTTAAAAGTACAACATCTATACTAATATATAGTATATTTCTGTATATAATATCCCAAGCCCAATCCATCACCTTAGAATCCATTTGCTACAGTCACATCCTCCTATTAAAAATACAAATTTTTACCATTAAAAGACCATAAAGATCAAAACTTAGCTTATATTTTTGGAAAAAAACAAAAGATTTTAACTTTGTTGGATATAAAAAAGCAGAATATATAACAAAAGTTCAATTTTGGACTCACCAACTGTGAGAAAACAAGCTCCAAAATCATGAGAAGGAACACAACAAAGACATGGTCAGAACCTAAGTTTCGATTCCAAATAGTTATTATCGGAAAAAAATTGGGCAGCTGCCATGTCGGGTTCCATACAACACCAAATTATTATATTACTTCTATGCAACCAAGGTTATGAAAAAGAGAATTATGGTACAAGCTATTATTATTTTCTATTAATTTCTATTTTTTTTTATTTCTTTAGTTAAGCACTTGCGGCCTTAATAGTAAATTGATTCTTTGTTTGGTGTTTCTAAATGATCATAGAGTGCTAGGAACAGTGGTTTTTGGATGGAGATAATGACTATTGGTAAAGTTGAAAGGCGAGGGAGTGCGAGGGAGAAGGAGATGATAATATTTTAATAAGAAAATGGGTGGGTTAATTAATGACTTGGCAGCTAACATGGTAGGTGACATGGATAAAATTGATATGGTCAGCTGCCACAGAGTCAAAACGTTAGGGTTAGGGGTATTTTTTCAAGCTTCATTAACGGCAGGGACGAGAATGGCCGAAAAGTATAACGGGTGACACAAGTAACCAATAAACAATAGTAGAGGGGCAATTTTTACCCTTTTCCCTTCATAATAACACCACCAGTACCTCCCACACCCGGGTTTCTGAGTGATGAACCATCAGTATTGAGCTTGTAGAACCCCTTGTTAGGAGGATCATTGTCACGATTCGGAATCTCATCTTCGGGACTGTGATAACGTCTAATTACTTACTAGGCAAGCCAACATTAGTTAAATTACTTAACCAATTTTAACAATTTGAATCAAAACGTTAACAATAATAATCTTAATAGTCTAAAATA